AACCCTAATTGTTTTAATTTGCAAACCTCAATTTATCTATTTTGACCTAATTGATACCATAAATCACATCAGTTGCATAAAAACATATCTAATTACTCCAAATTATCTTAATTCCAACCAAACACCCAATTATCAAACACCACAGGAATAATAATAATCAAAACTAAAAATCTCACAATTTAACAATGAAATACATAAAATTAAGAGAAACGTAGTGTTTTTATCTTGATTTGTTGATGGCTGATTCAAGTAGTGGAAGGGGGAGATTGGGCTAGTGTTTTTATTTTAACAAGAGAACACTACAAAGATGCATGGAATCAAAAGGGATCTGATTTTGGTGTGTTGGTGGAGAATAGATAGTTGTTTTTGATGATTTGGGGGTGGAGAAACTTTTTTTATGTTTTTTTATTTTATAGAGATGTAAGTCGACTATGAGAGAAATAAGAAGAAAAAACTAGGTTTTGTACTAATTGAACACACAATTCTGAATTCTAATTTTGTTATGTAACCACGATTAAAGAACACCAGTTTTAATTAAACTATATTATTTTTCAAGTACTTTTTCAACTAATATTATTTTGCTAAATTTTTGCTTTCAAAAATATTCTATGATTTTATTATAGTGAACCAAAATGGTCTATTTTTCATTTGAAAAGGTTCAGGCTAAAACGAAGAGATGATTTAACGGGGCTCACCTGTTGGCATTCATTCGTCTTTATACCAAAGTCATCATGTGAAGGAATGAGGCTGGTGAAGAGAAAAGGTAAAACCAAAAAAAGGATCATTGCTGTGTTTAGGATCTATAATTGGGGTGGTAAATAAGGTTAGACTATAACAATTAACTAGCAGCGGTGACGGTGCTTTGTTCTATGGTGAAGGAGGCTTCGGGGTGGTTTCAACGTTTCCACACAACATGAACCCCTGGTGCAGTCGCATTACGAGTGTTGTCTACTAAACCAGATATTCTGGTTTTTCCTTCGTTTGCTTCAAGATTATCGCCAAGAATCACATGGAAACTTCTCAAGTGCACATCCGCTTCTCACTTGCAAGTTGCAACAATACCTATATCATCTGCATGATGAAAACTACCTTTCATCTGGCCAAGGACAAAGGTTCCTGAGAAGCTACGCCTGGCACTCAGAAGCTGATAGATTTTAAACATTTAAATGATTTAGCAGCCCAATTTCCCATGGAAGAAATTTGCAGGCCTGATCATCCTGAACCATTGCAGTTAGATCAACCACGCTGCTGCTCTACTACCAAGGGAAAACCAGACCCTCAAGTTCTGATACAGAGTCCACATATAGTCGCGTAAATTATGACAAGTCAGCATATCAAATGTCTGTATCCAATTACAATATAATTCATAAGAGCTGAAAATTTATTACAGGAATTGCCGAGGAACAAATAGTTCTGCAGCTTGCAGAAGAGGAAAGGAAACCCCATCAGCCAAAATTGAATCCTTCACAGTTCTTACCCTAGTAGATTTAAATTTTGTTTAGTATACAACTCGTTCCTTTTCTTTTAAGAAATTATATTAAAAGAGAGAAATTATATAAAAAACAAAAGGTAAAGCTCCTAATAAAGCCAAAATTTTCTATTTCTGACTCTACAACAATGCGATCCTAGGTCAACTGTTTAAGAACATCGAAGATCACATAAATATCAATAATAAAAAAGTAGCAGATTTCAACTAATGACACAATCTTGGTAATACGGGTGGCTCTGATTTATGTACCTTTCCCAAAGAGGCTTGTATCTGCCAATGGCCAATTTCAACCATGGTTTCATGTTCCCACTAAAGTGAATAACTGCAGCACTGTCAATCAGCCTGTCATCAATGTTCATGTCATATCCCAATCCTAACACATGCCATCTCCGATCAAGCGTCTCGGTCAGTCCATAAAATGCTAGAAGGGCAGGGGGGAGTGTTCCCAGTTTCCACAGCGTGAGATCACCATTCTGTTCCTGCCAGTAATGATACCGAGCAGTGACATTTTCCTTCCTCCATGCAATCAAATCAAAAACATTCATTCCAAATGCCCAACCACATGCCTGCGGGTCGAATTTTGAGCTGATGACTGGGTTAGAGAAATTGATATACTTGTAATATCGATGAAATGCTTCAAGACAGGTTTCCACAGCTCCATTGACATTCCCATGCAAATCCAAAGAAAACAGCCGGGTCAGATCCTTCTGGACAACAACATCATCATCAAGGAAGACAACCTTTTCCAAAAGTGGATAGACCTCAGGGATGTAAAACCGGAGGTGATTGAGCAAAGACATGTGCTTAGGGTTCCGCAGTTTTGGCTCAACCTTCATATCTTGATATGCCCCAAAGTAGTAGGTCCTTGAATCTTTATCAAGGAGCCGTTTCATAACAGGAGCATAAGAAGCATTCAACCAGGTAAACTCCTCTATATTCTGCACTTCTACGGTGGCCCCTTTGAAGTCATTAGTTAGAAACCAAACCTGCATGGATCCATAGCTAATTCCAATCGTCGCTATGTGGAAGACAAGCTGTTTTGGATGGTCAGCATTGGAGATTGTGGAGTTGACCACCACAGAAGTGGCAAGCACATTGTCTGAAAATATGCAGAAATGGTAGAGATTATTGTCAATAACTCGAGGGGAATTTCTCTTTTCCTCCACATGGTTTTGGAGGGGGGGCTGCTTAAGCCAGTCATTTGTGAGCTTTACTTTCAGGCAATGGAGACTTTTGGGCAAAGCCTCAGCCACCAACTGACCAAAGAGTGTGCTTTGAACTGTTGCTGCATTTGTTCGCCCTTCTAGAGCTTGGATATGAGATTTCATTGTCATCATGGTGGTTGAAATATCATAATGAGCGTCTTGTGCCTTGAAAATTAGATATGATAAGCTACTGATTATCGGCTCAGCTTCTTCTACTGTTATGTACTGCCCTCTCTTGGCAGCTTTAGAAAGCAAAAGTTGGCAACTCTTAATCTTATTACTCAGTTCCCAAGCAAGATGAAGATTATTGTGCTCCTTTGCTATAATGACATAAGCCTTGGCAAGTGTCATTTGTTCTGCCAACTGTCGTGAAAATGAACTGGCCCTTAATATTTCCTTGGTTAAATTTAAACTCTCATGGTTTAGAGGCTCTTTTGTCGCATTTTCACCCTGGACAAGAAACGTCAATATTCAATAAGTTGATAGATGTTAAATAGAGCAATGCCTGTGATTACTGGCATATGACTTGACGGGTCAATGTATTGTGATAATGTCTGCAATTTACATTTTGTTGCAAAATTCTGTTTATCTGTCTATAATTGATCATTTAGAGACCACCGTTTTCCATCCAAAAATAAAGAACACATAATGAACACCATAGAAAAAACAAATTCTGGTCATAAGGTGATAAATATCACAGATAAACCAGATGCCTAAAAGACAAATTCTCAATACTATAGGATTAGCTGTTTAGGCCAAGGGCAACCTTATGCTAAGATGGAGTGAAAATGAAAATAAGGCAATTCCACGACCTTGTTAAGAAACATAACATTTGTAGCCTCTTTTGATTTCAGGCAATTCATGTTTACCAAAACAGAAACTATTGAAATATATGCCCAGCATTCTCAAAAGAATTATCTGGCAGCACTGTCTATAAAACCTATGGATGTGCTGTAAGATTTTAAAACAATCAATTGATCAATTGACTAATGACTCTTCTCATAACATCTGGTCCCCGTGGCATGATGAAGGGAAAAAAAGGCTTTACTTACTAAAGTGCAGGACTTCAAGATGAAAGGGTACAAAACTACAAATTGAAGCATGTAATCATTGAAATTTAAGCCCTAGGGCATCTACTTCCAGCATTTAAAGTATCAGAAAGTACATTTCCACCATTTACAGTATTCTTCAGTATGTGAGGAAAAGGAAATGAAAAGATCCAGGACTAGATTACTAGCATAGCATGATAATCCTAGAGCAATTTAGGGGAAAAGAGATACCATTAGCTTCAGTTGTGCAACAAAGTGTAGTGTAAATGCTCAGATTTGAGGGAACAAAAGAAAAGGGATAAAGAACCAATGCCACATGTTATCTTGAAACTCTCAGCATAACTCACCCAGTCATGTAATTTATTAATCAACAAGAAAAGATTAAAAACAGGGAATTTCCATGGACTCCATCTTTAATGAGCTGGGTTTATAAGAAAATTACACATCTTGTGATTAAGCATCCATGAGCCTTTCATGTTGATCCCTATGTAGTGGTTGAAGAACTTCTGTTGGAAAAAAGACCCCCTATCACTGGTTCCCAATTACAGATTTTAGCTCGTTATGTGAGATTAATATGTTATTTCCCCAAAAACCACTTTGTTACAAAATGCTTAATTGTAGTGTTGTCACCACATAGCAAGAAGGTCATTTATGATATAAGCAGGTTCTCAAACAAGAGAGCTTATAGAGCCACTTTTAATGAAACAATTGTTATCACAGTAGGAGATATGGCAAGATGACATGTCTAAATTCATCAAATATATAAATGAATTTTAGTTGTTTCTTTACTCCCTGACAACAACCCTGACATTATTATATGAGATGCATCTGTAGCTGATATGAAAAATGGAAAAGAAAATTGTTTCTTCTATCAGCACATACTTCTACCGGAGAAGTGTAAAATTTTCCAAAAACTTTGCATCAGTTAATTTGAAACCTAACAGCTGGATACAGGAGCTATGATAGACGAATAAGTTTTTGGTAACGCTTGTTGGGAAAAGTAGGTGAACCATGTAATGTAATAATCTATGTTTACTCGAATTATCTTCAATCTACCATAAGAATCTCTAAACAGCAGAGTGTGATCATTAGAAACAATTAACTAATGGGTCCACATCCTTTTGCGAAGGAATACAAAGGTAACTGTGAACATTATTATCTATGAAGTTTGCATGAGATCCTCACTACTTTCTCTTTGGAAAATACCAAACACATGGCTGCTTCATGTTTTTCTACATAAGACTGTTAAGCACCTGTTAACTAGCATCAGAACACCTCAACGCTATACTCCAAAATTCTATAGAAGTAAAACCAGCTATATACCTGGCAACAGCCACCAAGATCCAGTTAAGTGTATGACAAATATACCTACTGAGCAGCGGGAATGAAAATCACATATATAAGCTCACGAGCTTACTGTGTGCCACTCGTCTTGGTCTCTAACTTCTGAGTAAAGTGCAAACCACAGAAATGATGAGAACATCGACGTCTGAAAAAATAATCATCATTTTGAGTAGAAATGTCATAAAATTTCACCACCATTATGCAGCTAAAGGTAGCCTACAGATGAGTTCTGAAATTAATCCATAACATTTTTATTTTTTTTACATAACTCTTGCATCAAAACACTGAAAGTTTACTAATTAATAATAACAACAGAAAGACTCATTTTATCCCTACAAAAGTCATTTAACACAAATAATAATAATAATAATAATAATAATAATAATAATAATAATAATAATAATAATAATAATAATAATAATAATAATAATAATAATAATAATAATAATAATAATAATAATAATAATAGTTAGGGGCAGTCATTGAATCCATTTAGTAATTGTAACTCACACTGAATCACGTTATTCAAAGTTCGATATGATTGAAACAACAGTTTTTATCAATCAGCTACAGTTATTAAAGCGTCTGGATCCATAGGGTGTCGACAAAAACGACTGAATTTATCAAAATGAAACACAATTAAAAATCAAACTGATAGAAACATACAAGATCAAATAGACATACGGAAGGGGTAAAGGAAAAATGATTCTTATTATGGAAGTAAATCTTACCATCATTGGCTGCTTGACCTGATCTTCATGGTGATTGTGGTGAAACACAAACAATACCAATCCTGCAATCACGAACATCCCGAGAAGCGCCAAGATCCACAGCGATAGCCTCCTTCTAACTGGGCGCCGGTACTCTGACGGTCGCCTCCTCATCTTTCTTCACGATTCACCACCAAAAAAGAATCAAGATTTTATAAATACACCCATTACCCACGATTGAAAATACATGCAATGAAAGGAACTGTCATGACACTATACACTCATCGATGTATTGAATTGAATGTGATGGGTTCAAATGGAAAGAGCTAGAAAGATTGTAATCTGGCTTTTACTTTTACTGTTTTTGTGTGTAAATAGGAAAAGGATAAGAGAGAAGAGATTTTCAACTGTCTGCACCTTTTATACACATATTTTAAATGAAACGAGGGGCTGCCTGGCTGTGGCTGTCTGTCTATGGAGAGAGAGTTACATACAGGGAAAGAAACTAGCAGCAAGGAAATAGCCGGCCGTGCGCAATGCTTTTTGGCTTTTTTTCTTCTTTTTCTTCTTCTTAAAACAATACACCAAGTGTAAAATACTTTACCCCGTCTACGTTATCTGGCGTGTACTTCCAACATATTTATTAAACTCGGAATTGTAATAAAAAAAATTAGATTATAAATTTTATAGATTAATTTGAATTAATTTTAAAAAATTTTAAAAATATATTTAAAATTTTAATATTTTACATGAAAAAATTAAAAAAAATTAAAAATTTATGTAAATTAAAAAAATATTTTAAACATTTTAAAAAGATATTATATTAAATTTTTAAGTTGAAATATTTAAACCAATTTTTTTTTTATTTCATGTTAAAAAATAATATTTTTTAGGAATATAGAATATATCTATTCATAGGTTTCAAATTTCCTATTAAAAAAATATAATTTTTTTCTTAAAAATATAAAATATATATACAAACAAGTTTCAAATCCCATATTGAAAAAAATATTATGTTATATTTTTAAATTGAAGTATTAAAACCAAAAAGATTTTTTATCCCACATTGAAAAACATAATTTTATTCTTGAAAATATAGAGTATATATATTAATAGATTTCAAATCCCAGATTGAAAAGACATAACTTTTTTCATAAGAACATAAAGTATATATACGAAAAGGTTTCAAATCCCACAATGAAAAGATATTATGTTATCTCTTTAAGTTAAAGTATTTAAATAAAAAAGTTTTTTATCCCACATTTAAAAAATATAACTTTTTTCTTGGAAATATAAAGTATATATACTGATAGGTTTCAAATTCCATATTAAAAAAATCGGGTCTCGTCTAGGTCTCGCCCTAATTATGGGTTGACCTGTTGGATTGCCAGGGTTTTGCCAAGTTGTTACTCTGACCGGTCTTTTATTAAACCAGATCGATCTAGCTACTAGGTCTTAGGCCGGGTCAAGCCTAGTTTAATAACCAAGGTTCCAACCCTGCATTACCATTTACTGTGTCATCATTTACTGAAATTTATCCTATGTCACTTAAATATATTTTAAAATTAAATCATATCCTAATTTGAATTCAATTATTTAAGTTTAATTGATATTCTATTAAATTCTTAAGTTTAAAATTAAATATAAAATTATATAATTAGATTTAATTATATTATTTAAAATACATGTGAAAATGAATTGAATTAATAATATTAACATTGTTGCTCTTAATTTATAAATTATTTCTATTAAAAAATCTATTTATTTTACAAGAACTCTTATATTTATTTAAAATGAGATAAAATATAAGTATTCTAAAGAAAATATAAATAGACATATTTCATATTAATTGAAAAAATCCTAAAAATAAATTTTATTTTAAAAAAACTTTTCAATCAAAATTTTTTCATTGAAATTTTGAGAAAAAATATTCTAGAAATACTCTAATAAAAATTCTAATATTTTTCTCAAATCAAACTTAAAAAAAATAAATATCAATGCAAATCTCATTACCAAATAGAAAAAGTTAATGATTAATATAATTTTGATAATATTGATAATTCAAAAAGATACCACAACTCTTAGTTATACTTTTAAATACTACTTTTCAATCTCTACTTATTTTTATACCAATTCCCATATTAATCAACCATCATCTATGCATATTACAAAAAAAAAAAACTCATCATCCATGTATAATTGATTGAGCTAAACAAAACAAATTGAAATGAACGAATCTTGCAAAAACAAAAATAAAATAAAAGAAAGAAAAAAAAAAGAAAGGAAAGATTAATAATATCCCTGATGAAGAACAAGAATATCTTGACAATAATTCATGCCAAGTAGAAAAAGAAATGATATTATGCTGCCAAAGGGTTTTTGAAAGAAAAGAAAGAGGCATTTGAAAAAGAACAAAAATAAATCTTAGGTGGGTATTTTTGAAAAATTGTTTTCAAAGTTAATATAAAGAGAGATTGTAACAACCTAATATCTAGGACACTTTATAAACAATAAAACTCAAAGAAAATTGAGGATATTTTTTTAACATGTTTCTTTCTCAGGTAAATGTTAATTTCATAAAATTAACATGTATTTTACCAAAATTTCTTGTAATAGTTCTAATTTTCATGTGACTTGAAAATTTCAGGATCTTTTTAATAAAAATATATCAAAATTTCTATCAAAATTTTAGTAAAGTCTTCTTTATGTCAAGAGGTCGTAAGTTATCAACAATACCAGATCTACACTTTCTATGTCGTTTCATAACTTTATCCAACTATCATAAATCTCAACCAAACTCATCATCATTAACGCAACACATCTTATATAATAATATTACAAAATTCATGTTCATAAAAAAAACACATAATTTAACTGCTACATATTATCATTATATAAATTATATCATGCATAATAATATCATATAATGAAATTTCAACTATCAAACATACATGGTTAAAATATGTACTTAGAATTACATCATTAGATTAAAGTCATACATCTCAATTTATAGTTCAATACTACATTTTAATTTTAGGAGATAAATGTCTTGAATTACAACATAATTATATAGTAAAACATGCTAAACTAAGATCACTTTTGATGTGACTCCAATGAACTTGAAAATAACAAATAACATTTACATATAAATATAAAAATGTAATAATAATAGTACTAACAATGATAGGTAATAATTTTCATGGCATTCTTTTGACACATAAAATTTAGACATAGATTTCTCTACAATATATATGTTTAATCTAATATCCTAATCAATTACCGAAAATAATTTCATATTGAAAATTACAATATGACTAAAATGATTTTGAATGTCATCTCTTTATGGATCAATCCTCATTTGATATTTGATATGAAGATATTCTTCTCTTAATATCATTAACTTATCCCGTTTGTGAAACAAATGAACACTCAACCAGTAACTGTCCAACCTTGCCTTCTTTTAAAGAATGTCTCCATGAATAAGCTCATGCTTTAAACAGTTTTCAAAGGGCCAACCATAACCCATACTCCCAAACATACAACCCTGGTTGGAGCAATCACCCAAATTTCAATTGGAAGAGTGAGAACAACAATGCACAAACTTCACAACCACCATTTCAAGCACACCACACTTTCCAAAATTCTCATGGATATGCCCCTCCTTATGCTCCACCTCCTAGAAGAAATCTTGAGGAAACAGTGCATGCATTCATTGAAAAGCAAGAGACAATCAATACTCAACTTGCTCAAAACATGACAGATTTTAAAGATGCTCTTGCTAAATTAACATCTGCTCTCAGTTTCCAAGAGAAAGGTAAGTTTCCATCTCAACCGCAACAAAATCCCAAGGGGCAATACAATGTAAATGCAAGTAGTTCCGGAAGCCAGCATATGGATCAAATCAAATCAGTCACTACTCTGCGCAGCGGTAAGGTTATTGAAAAACCCTCTCTTGAACCTTATGAGAAAGATGATGAATCAATCTCTGAGGGTAAGGAAGGGGATGAATCTGAAAATTGCAAAGAAACGACTGATTCTCCGCCAACACTTCCATTTCCTCAAGCCATGACCAAACAAAGGAAAGTTAATCATAACTCTGAAATTTTTGAAATTTTCAAACAGGTAAGGATCAATATACCATTGTTGGATGCTATTAAACAGGTTCCTTCCTATGCTAAATTTTTGAAAGATCTATGCACTGTGAAAAGGAAATTGAATGTGAAAAAGAAAGCCTTTCTAGCCGAACAAGTAAGTGCTATTCTTCAAAACAATAATGCTTTGAAATATAAAGACCCTGGTTGTCCTACAATTTCTTGCTTTATTGGAGAGCATAAAATTGAAAGAGCCTTACTTGATCTTGGTGCTAGTGTGAATTTACTTCCATATTCAGTTTTTCAGAGTCTCAATCTATGTGAGTTAAAACCAACTTCTATAACTCTTTTACTTGCCGATAGATCTATAAAAGTGCCTAGAGGAATAATTGAAGATGTGTTAGTACAAGTCGATAAATTCATTTATCCTGTGGATTTTATTGTCTTGGACACAGAACCTGTTGAAGCATGTAATTCATTTCCTGTTATTTTAGGACGTCCATTTCTTGCAACCTCTAACACATTGATTAATTGTAGGAATGGACTGATGAAGCTATCATTTGGAAACATGACATTGGAGATGAATATTTTCAACATTTGCAAGCAACCTGGAGATGATAATGATTTACAAGAAGTAGATCATATTGAGGAATTAGTTTATGATCAACTTGAATCTACTTTAAGTAAAAATGAATTGGATGAAACTGAAGATTTGCAAATGGTTTATTCTGAGGAAGAAATCACGGATGAAACAAGCACCGAAAATGTTGATGCGAATCTTTTGTCAACAGTGACAACAAATTCGACATCTGACATCACACCAATCGATGATTACTTTCCTAACAAATCCTTACTTTCTCTTAGTTCAATGCCTTGGTATGATAAAAATATGAATTTTCTTGCTTTAGGAGATTTGCTAGCTGATTGGAGTACCCAAGACAAAGAAAAGTTTTTGAACGAAGTGAAGAGCTTTTATTGTGATGACCCTAACTTATTCAAATATTGTCCTGATCAAATATTTCAAAGATTCATTCCCGATAATGAGGTAAGTAGTGTCATTAAACTTTGTCATTCTGAAGCATGTGGAAGTTATTTCTCGTTAAAAAAGACAATTGAAAAAATCTTTCAAAATGGATTTTATTGGCCTACCATGTTCAAGGACACGCATGCATTCTGCAAAACTTGTGAAAATTGTCAAAAAATTGACACTGGTCAAAAAGTTTTGTTTTATGATTCTCAACTCTATGCACTCCCTAAAGAGCTAAGATTAAGATGGACCAATCCTTATGGGGCCTGTGATATTGAGAATTCAATGAATGACAATGATTTTAAGGAAAATGGACATCGTTTGAAAGCTTACTTTGATAATTTTCCTAGTGAAAATGAATCAGCTGGTTTGAATGATCTTGTAGATAAAGGTTGATTATTTTGTTTTTCTCATATTTT